GGAAACAATGACTATTTTCTTACCATCTGAATCTGAGAAATCTATTCAATTTCTAAAACCATGTCAGTTATAATAAAGGCAAAATATTAGTGTTTTTGATGGAAGAGAATATTTATAACTCAGGGCTGGAATGAGGAGTCCTTGGTGTTCTCTGAGTTTGGTGGTTTTCTTGCTGATGTTTCATTCTCAAACTTGGTAACATCATCCATGCTATTTCGTGTTTTGATGTTGCTCGGTTCCCATAGGCTCTGAGTAGTTTACAAAATGCCAAAACATAGCATCAATCTAGAAAATGTATTACATAATATCATAGACCTCTACATCTTCCAATCTTCCAATCCAAGAGCCAAGACAGGGAAGAAGGCTGTCTCATATATGGGATGAGCTGTTTTTTGAAACGGGTATAAAGGGGTATTAAGAGGTCTTGCACATTGCTTTGAAAGCTGCCTCAGTTGGCCACTTACAAAATAATCCAAGATAAATATTAGATTCGAGATAGCTATTTGGAGAGTTTTTAGAAAACTCTTGAGATAAGCAGTTAAATTTAAGGTAGATAACTCTTGAATAACTGGGGATTGTAACAGGATAATCTCATTGGATTTTGCTATTTTCTTCATACACAGCATCTTTAAAATGCTGTGAATATAATTCCAATTATTTCTTTGCTCATATATTTAGAATTATTTTAAAAACATTGTATAAAATTTTTAACACGTCCGATAAGATGTTGAAGGACACAACTAGCAGAAGCATGCTAATGGTGCAAAAGAGAACAGTATCACAAACAAATTCCAAATAAAATAAAATAAAATAAAAACACACATTGCTATGGCAAACAATAACACAACAGATATGCCTTTATATCAGGGGCAGACAATAAGGTACCCTTCTATTGTGGGTTAGTATTTTCAATGGTGGCCATTGGGGTGCTTCTTCCACTTAATATTTTCTAAAGATTCTTTTAATTATAAAAGAAATTAAGTGGAAACTTAGCATACTACGAAACAAATCACCAGCTTCTGCTGTCATGTTCACTTGGAGGAGAGCCATTAAATGCTGCAAATGCTCCACTGAGATTACAGAGAGCATCACTAATCAATCATCTTATAAATGGGTGCTTTGTTATTAGCAATGCCTATCCATGGCAACCATTTTGTAAGTAGGGAAGTCTCCCATGGCAGCCATTTCAGGATTTCAACACAGTGTCAAACAACTTTCAATGTGCCCTTGATAAAAAAAAAGTTTAACTACTCTTGTTCTATATAATTAGGGCCTACAAAACATTAATTCTATACAGCTTTCTTTCAATATATGATTTATCAGATATGTAAGCAACTTTATTATTGAATGTTTCCCAGCAAACTTATAATAAACCTGAGTAATGATAGGAAAGAATTACATAGTTCTCACATCTCAATAACTGTTCTCATCATACATCCAGACCCTATACACAGAAAACCTTTCCTTCCTTCCTTCCTTCCTTCCTTCCTTCCTTCCTTCCTTCCTTCCCTCCCTCCCTCCCTCCCTCCCTCCCGTTATTTTTGCTCTTTGTACCAAAGAACAAGATATACAACATTGAAAAATCAATTATATTTTATTAAAGCCCCTTCTGTTGCCAATCTAGTATGCTATTTGGTATTTTTGCCTTCAAAAACTTTTTCTTGCTGAATTGCATTTCTCAGTGCTTATGTCTCTTTTTATGAAGATATAATATTCTCGGTGCTCGCTCAGCACTTCAAAAATTCCATTTGAACCACACTTTAATTTCATTATAGGGATAGGTTAGCAAACTCGGTTGGAATTTTATATCTTGTACTTAGGGCTTGCAATAAGAATTCTCATACTTTTTGTGATCTTTTCTCCATTCTTTTAGTTGGAAGAGAGTACAGGAATATCCTTAGGTGCACAAACATGTGTCCATTTATCTGAGTCATTACTTCACCCTTGTACTCTGGCTGAGTCCTGAGTCTGGGATATCACTTCAAACTGCTAAAGCCATTTCAAGTGTGAAACTGTGCAGATTTATGGGCAACCAATTCATTTATGTATGGGAACTAGGTCAGTTACAGTGAAAAGAAATACCTGTTTAATCCATTACTTCAATACTCATAAATTAGTATTTCAGTGTAACACTATTATAACAGTAGAATTTACTGGTAATGTTTTTCATGTAATTTACTATAATTTTGTTCTTTACATAACTATCCGTCAATTTTTCAGCTATCTTAATACTTAGTTTTGAATAAGGGTACCCTCATTATTATTCTAAAATGTATTTTCTAATATACATGCTTGGCATTACAAGACAAGATAGAAAGACCTGCACATGAATTAGAGAATGAACACAAGTATATGATATCATCAAGAGAGTAAAAGAATTGAAATGGAAATGGCCTGGTTACGTAGCAAGAAGAACTGATGACAAGTTGACCAAGGCAAACATAGAATGGATACCACTTTATAAAAAGCATCCACGAAAGAGACTTAAAATAAGATGGATCGACAACATCAGCAAGTATTGTGGGCCCAATTGGCAAAAGAAAGCTCAGAACCATAATGGTTAGAAACATGAGAAGAGGCCTTCATCCTGCAGTGGATAGACAATGGCTAAAATGAAGATGATGATTATAATAATTTCCTAATACTAATAATTCTATTTTTTTTAAAAAGGAAACAATTTCAGTCTAACCAGAATGATAGAGAAGCTGCTCCTACATAATTAACTCTCATAAAGTTCTATATAATCATGTAGATTTGATGATGATTCAAAAATCTTTTATCAATTTCATTAATGTATAAAAGTTTGAAAAGAGCTGGGAAAGAATTGCCAGCATCATATCTCTATAAAACAGCATCAGCCAACCAATAAAATGAAGACTCAATAGATACAAGAGTGTCAGCCAAAGCAACCAGAATCACTCATGAATACTGTCAGACAGAAGCCTTATTGCTAGCCACCCATGTTACAAGAATCTCACCAGCTGCATTCTCTTGAGAATGGTCAGATAAGGCTTCAAGGATTATGGGGAGGTCAGACCTGTGAACTCTGCAGTCCAAAGACTCTATACTCCCCCCACCCTTAACACCTCACTCCAGTCTAGCTGGAGATTCCAAGACAAAGAGATGGTAAATGAAATTCAACAGATACAAGATGTGATACAACAAGGATATATCTATTTATTTAGCAATAGCATAGCAATGGCACTTAAATTTATAAACCACTCCAAATGTTTTACAGCGCTCTCTGACCAGTTTATAGAGTCAGCATACTCTCACAACAATCTCGGAAGGATGGAAAGCTGTCAACCTTGAGCTGATCAGGATCGAACTCCTGGCAGTGGACAGAGTCAGACTGCAATACTGCATTCTAACCATTGCACCACCACAGCTCCTATTTATTTGCTGAGCTTGTACTCTCTGTAAAGGAACACAGAGAGAGGCTCATTGACCACAACTCTATCGCAGAGTGTCAAATGGCTTGGAGCAGTTTTGTCAATTCAGGATAATATAGAACATAATATCCTGAGTTTATTTGTGTTCTGAAACTCCCAAGCTGAATTTTTTTTGATACGTGTTACACATGGAAATGAACCTTTGAAAGTGGTCTCTAAAATTCCACATAATGACCTGCTAGAATTGGGAATAGATGATATACCAATGCTTTTCTATCTTCATTGGTTTCTAGAATATTTCTTATAGCATTCAAAGTGCTGTTTCAACATTTGAAACTTAAATGACCCTTCTATACATCACCCAAGTATAAATAATTCCTAGGATGAAGCTTAAATAATAGTGGCATTTTAGTTGCGGAATGTTTCTCCCATCACTATTTTATGGGCATTTTGGCCTCAAATCACTTTGTAAAGATTCACATAGTCCTCTAAAACCGCTTAATTTTTAAATATTAAAAATATTGTTTTAACATAAAACTTATACCATAAACTGTCAAGAGAACACAGGACATTATCAAAGTAAAAGATTCTAATGTAAACATTACAACATATAATTAAATATATAATCTATAAATATATAATCTGCACATAAATATATTGCATTTTGCTTTTTAGCATAATGTTTGAAAATCCGGAACATTCAATTTAAAATAGCACAACACAATACATTTCCATTTTGTTTTTGTTTTTCATCTAATGGCAAACAGACAAAGCATCTGAATTTTGCTACCTTAGAAAACAAAATGGCAAACTGTATAATCATCTAGTGGCATATAACCAGGAGTATCTGTTATAAAGATTATATACATGCTGATGGAGTAAACAGAAATTTGTGTATCTGCTGTGAAAAACACAGCTGAACATATCGGTTAAAAATATGTATCTCTTTTCATTGACTACAAACTATTTTTTACTTTTCTGTTTTCTGCACCTTAAAATTGCAAATGTAAATTACAGGACACAAGAGGAATAAATGAATTTAACAACTCCATATGTATTTCATGTAATCTCTCTAATGAGGATAGTAAACTGGAGCAGTTCCCATGTGCACAAAGGTGAATCTCTTCGCTGTTTTTGCTGACTAGAAAAACAATGAGTGTGGCTGTAGTAGAATTTTATACACAGTATACACATTTTAAGGTCTCTTAAAATGCTATGCTTGCATTTAAGCCAAAAACAGAGTTTAATTTACTTATCTGAATAATAAAATAAATATGATCACTTACTATAAAAATATATTGTTTTCATAGCTACACTTGAAAATGTGTCAGGTGGAATATATTCAATTAACTTGAAAGAACTTCTCAGTGTAAACATTATTAACTCCCCCCCACACACCCCCAATATTGTATCCTATTATTTAGAAATTCTACCTACATTTGGCCTTTATATTATCCATTAAATGATAAACCAAAATATTTTCACTTCGGTTTAGTTTGAGTTTTATACCCTTAAATAGATATATTACAGGAGGTTTTTTTAATATCAATTCTTATAACAATTCATTTTATTTGCAACAATTCTAGATAAGAATGAACCACGTCTTACCACTGGTGTCTGTAATAGTTACTTCAGCTTTAGTACTGTCATCTCCAAATCTGTTGCTTGCTTTACATGTATATTCCCCAGCATCATCCAAAGAAGCTTTAGTAATGCGGAGTTCGGAGAATGTTCTAAGGGAAGAAAGTTGAATAAATATGAAATCATTTTATGCATCATTGAAGGAAACAAATATACACAAAAATACTTTTTAGATTTGTTCCTCCTTTACTGGAGGTGCAGAGAGGAATCATATTCATAAGACAAATGACATATTGTAAATTACAGGTAGTCTTCGACTTACAACAGTTCGCTTTAGTAACTGTTCAAAGTTACAATGGCACTGAAAAATGAGACTTATGACCATTTTTCACACATACGACTGCTGTAGCATCCCCATCGTCACGTGATTTACATTCAGATGGCTTGGCATATTTATGACAGCTGCAGTGTCCAGAGCTCATGTTTGGTAACCTTTGGTAACCTTCTGACAGCAAAATCAACGGGGAAGCCTGATTAATTTAACAACTGGGTTACTAATTTAACAATTGCAGTGATTCACTTAACAACTGTGGCAAGAAAGGTTGTAAAATGGGGCAAAACTCACTTAACAAATTTCTCACTTAGCAACATAAATTCTGTGCTCAATTGTGGCCATAAATCGAGGACTACCTGTAATACGTAATTTTCCTATTATAGATTTGATAGTATAGGTACTCCTTACTTAATGACCATATGACGGAAACCCCCTCCCTCCCAAATTTCTTACAATCCTCAAAGTTATGACTGCTGCACAGACACATCTGAAGTCACATGATTACAGTTTGGTGCGTGGCACATTTCAACTCACATTTACAAATAGTTACAATGTCCCACGATAACATCACAATGTTATTTGTGCCATTTTTTGCCCAGTTTCCAGCAAAAAGCATCCATTCAGAGAAAGGATTTTCTTAACATCCATGCGGTTTGCTTAATAACCAAATAATTCACTTAATGACCACAGTGATTCGCTTTACAACAATCTTAAAAACCGAGTCGTAAAATTTTACAGTCGTAAAATCGAGTCCGGTCATGTGGTGACATGCTTAAGGACCACAATGTCTTATGGCCAAAATTCCAGGCTCAATTGTTGGTCGTCATGTTAAAAAGTGAGGCTTACCTGTTCAACAAAAGGATAAACTATTGTGTTTAACTCGAGATTAACCTTCAATTGCTTGTTTGAAACAGGGGTGAAATTCAAAATTTTTCCCTACTGGTTCTGTGGGCGTGGCTTGATGGGCGTGGCAGGGGAAGGATACTGCAAAATTTGCTGGTTCTCCGAACTACTCAACATTTCTACTACCGGTTCTCCAGAACCTGTTAGAACCTGCTGGATTTCACCCCTGGTTTGAACTGATCATTAGAAGTTAGAACTAGGAAGCAGTTGGTTTTTTTCCTCCTCGGATTCCAATTGTGTTCTTTTTGCTTATCTTCTTTTAATGTGAATTTATGAGCACAAATTTTCCCATTATTAAACTTTTTAAGTAACTCTAAGAGCCCTCTTGGCTGGGCAAAGAAAAAAGGCTTCAAATAATAAAAATACCCAAACATTTAGGTCCTATTTTTTTTAATAAAACAATCTTAACAGTAAGAGATAAACCCCATTTGAAGCTCAACAACCTCCTATGCTTTTATGGATGCATTTACATATTTATCTTGGCAATAGTACAGATATGGATTGCAACTCCTTCTTCTGTTGTTATTTTAATCTCCCAGCTTAGACTGTAACCCTGAGAGGATTTGGCAGTTTCTCATCCAGCTACTAATGATGGCCAACCCTGCTTAACTTTGTTTGGATCAGTTAAGATTTCTAACTACTGCCAAATTTTGTAGGACAATCTTAAGTATAATAATTTAACTCTTCAACTGCCTCACTAAAAGCAGTGGAGTTGCATGAGGTTTTTCAAAAATGTTAACTACATGCTTAATTTAGGATTTTAATGTAAGGATTTCATGTTGAAGTAGACATTACCATGATGAGTTATAGATTACAGCACTTTTATTATCATTGCTCAGATCTTTCTAACTTGCAAATGTTGTACCGTATATCCCTGTAAATATAGGATGATTGAGAATGTAGGATATAAGGCTAGAGGTCTCAAACCACACTGCATCTATTTACAACTTAGCCTCAGATACTACTTGAGGTAGTGCCTTAATAGCTTCTATCTTCCAGCTAGTGCCTTATCTCTTAATCCACTATATGAGAGATAGTGGCCCTGAAATCTATGCTGCCTTTCTTGTGATTAAAAGGGCAACATGAAAATAAGTTTAATATAGTAAAGCAACATCTAACCATATAGCATAGAAACATGATCTTAATATAAAATTAGAACATAGAATCATAGGCTGGGAGGAATCTTGGAGGTCTTCTAATCCAACTCCTTGCTCAAGGCAGGGACCTTATACGTCCCATCCCGGTCAAATTGTTATCCAGTCTATTTTTGAAAAACTTCAGTGTTGGCGCACCCACAACTCTGAGAGGCAAACTATTCCATTGATTAACTGTTCTCACTGTCAGAAAATTTCTCTTTATTTCTAGGTTGGATCTCTCTTAAGCAAGCTTTCACCCATTACTTCTTGTCTTGCTCTGTTTTGGAGAATAAGTCAATCCTCTCTTCTCTGTGACAGTCCCTCAAATACTGGAAGACAGTTATCATGTCCTCCCTAATCATTTTCTTCAATAGGCTAGACGTACCCAGCTGCCTCAACTGTTCATACATATCCAGCTCTTCCTCCCCTCCTTGGGAAATAATATCAGAGATAAACCAAATTTTATTAAAAAATAAAACTAAGCACTCCTTTTTAACTTTAATATTAAACATTAAAAAGTAGCCATTCATTGTTGGAGAAATAAATTATAGGTCTGTAAGTAACACAAATGAAAATAAAACAAAAAAAAATCTAAGCTTCTGGGCAAAACATATAAAGACAATAGTCAGCTACAAAACCCCAAAGTTCTTCTTGTACGTATCTAGAACATCATTCATAGGAGACATAAAATTCAATCCTTCCCTCACTTTTTTGGGGAAGGGGGACAGGTACCTTTGAGTCAGTTTTTGACTTCTGGCAACTGTCTGGATTAGTTATTACAATATTCTTAGCAAGATTTTTTGGAAAGGGTTTGCCATTGCCTGCTCCTAGGATAGTGACAGGGCCCATGTTACTCAGGTGGTGTCATAGCTAAGCATAGAATTCACAGTCTCCCAGTTTCTAGACTGGTGCTTTAATCACTACACCAGACTGACTCTTAAAGTTTCCTCTTGTACAGAGATTTAAAGAAATTATACAAGAAAACAGACACGAACCCCACCATAGATTCCAGACTGAAACTTCCTTCTATAGAAAATGAAGATTCTAAAACTGATGTTTCTCCAGCTTTGAAAGTGATTTCACTTCAAGAGGCTGATCAGGCCAGGCCATGGGAAACCCATTTCTTTGCAGCATAGTTTGGAATCTTCAGTCTTTATTTTTAAAGGAATCAAACACTCACAAAGAAACCTATAGCTGGCATTTCCATTATGTAATAGCTATTACAGATAGTCTTCAACTTACAACCACAACTGGGACCAGAATTTCCATTGCTAAGCAAGGCAGGTTTTTTTTGCCATGTTTGTTAAGCGAATGACTTCAGTTGTTAAGTGAATCAGGCAGTTTAGTGAACCCGGCTTTTCCCATTGACTTTGCTTGTTGAAACCCGGCTGAGAAGACTGCAAATGGTGACCATATGACCCTGTTGTAAATACATGCCAGTTGCCAAGTTCTCAAATTCTTAAACCTCAGATGACCATTACTGAGTTGTGGAACAACAGGTTTCCTGTAAACTCTTGTAGTGAGCTCTCCAAGGTACTGATAAGGAGTTGTCTTGCCAATGCCCAGACCCAGAGAGAAAAAAATTCTCTTGCCCACTATAATTAACCAATATCTAGAGACGTTCATAGGGATTCTCAAAAATAAAGAATGGGGCTATATGTGAGCTATATGAATAGGATTCTGAATGGACAAAAATATTTACTTTAATGCTGTGGAGAGTTCAAAATTACCAAGGAAAAATAATGCTAAAGTAAGAAAATATTATGGAAGTCATGCCAATTTTAGAAAACAATAAATGTATTCTTATATGAATCACATGAGAACTCAAGTTTTAGAAAATATTTTAATATTATCAGTAAATACCTACTAATATTGTGAAGCCACTGGTCATACAAAGTGAATTGGCAACTATCTTATAAGTATCCACAGCAAATGCATGAAGTTGTGGGTTTCTTATTCACAGTTATAATATATGCTTTATATTTGATGCATGAGTTTTAGATTTCACCCTGAAAGTCACCAAATTAATTTCCATGCAGTGAATAAAAACATGATTCCTATGGATAGTCTTATAGAAATCCCAGGTTTCGTTTTCAAACAGAAATCATGCATGAGGAGGAGATTAAACTTCACATCAAATCAATATAAATTTCTATCCATTCCTTAAAATTGTATTAGATACACCTTTCTCTAATGTATAATTAGCCCAATGTAAACTAAGCTGCTCTCCTTAACTTATGAGGACAAGACAAATGTAAATGACTTTGTAACAAATATAAGCTGCCTGAATTGGGCCAGTTACTAAACCTCAGCTTATTTTACTGATACAAAATAATGATGAAGTTTAGGTAATGAAAATATGCAATAAATTGTGTAATATGAAAGCACTGAAATAATAGTAGCATAGTGCATTCTTAAGTATTACACCAACATACTAATACTGCTTGTATCTATTAGCAAGCATAGATGCAAGCAACATACCATATATCCCTAAATATCACTGCCAGGGCTGGCTTTGTGCTCCATCTGATTTTATTAGCATGCTATTTTTATATATTTTAAAAATAAGACCAAGAATTTGCCATGGTATACAGTGTAATGGAAGGTAGTGAGGTGGTGGATTCCTAGGAGGAGGGGTGAATTTAAGCAGACAGAAGCAACTCAGATCAGATAGTATGTGAGAGAAAGCGGGTGAAGACAATACCTCCCTATTAGTTCACAGAGTATGTTACAAATGTAGATAGTAGAGTCTTTAGTCTGGCAAGATTTTGTCTATAGG